TCATTACCACCACCACCATCATTACCACCACAGCCACCATTACCACCACTGCCACCATTACCACCACAGCCACCATTACCACCACCACCATCATTACCACCACAGCCACCATTACCACCACAGCCAGCATTACCACCACAGCCACCATTACCACTACTGCCACCATTACCACTACTGCCACCATTACCACCACAGCCACCATTACCACTACTGCCACCATTACCACCACTACCATCATTACCACCACAGCCAATATTATCACCACTGCCACCATTACCACCACTGCCACCATTACCACCACTGCCACCATTACCACCACTGCCACCATCACCATCATTACCACCACTACCACCATCATTACCACCACAGCCACCATTACCACCACTGCCACCATTACCACCACCACCATCATTACCACCATAGCCACCATTACCACCATTACCACCATTACCACCACAGCCACCATTGCCACCACAGCCACCATTACCATCACAGCCACCATTACCACTACTACCACCATTACCACCACCACCATCATTACCACTACTGCCACCATTACCACCACCACCATCATTACCACCACAGCCAATATTACCACCACCATTACCACCACCACCACCATTACCACCACTGCCACCATCATCATTACCACTACTACCACCATCATCATTACCACCATTGCCACCATTACCACCACCACCATCATTACCACCACCACCATCATTACCACCACCGCCACCAATACCACCACCGCCACCATTACCACCACCACCACCATTACCACCACTGCCACCATTACGACCACCATTACCACTACGACCACCATTACCACCACCACTGCCACCATTACCACCACCGCCACCATTACCACTACAGCCACCATTACCACTACAACCACCATTACCACCACTACCATCATTACCACCACTGCCACTATTACCACCACTGCCACCATTACCACCACCACCACCACTGCCACCATTACCACCACCACCACCATTACTGCACCACCACCACACTGCCACCATTACCACCACCACTGCCACCATTACCACCACCACCACCCCACACCACCACCACCACCACCACCATTACCACCACACCACCATTACTACCACTGCAATATTAATGGTGTTTGTATCAGCAATATTAAATTTCCCCCCCCATCATCATCATCAATCATCATCATTAATCATCATCATCAGTCATCATCATCATCATCATCATCAACATCATTAATCCTCATCAATCACTATCATCATCATCATCATCATCATCATCATCATCATTAATCATCAATCATCATCTCACTCATCAGTGTCTCTAACCATACAGGCCACCATTACTACCACTGCAATATTAATGGCGTTTGTATCAGCAATATTAAATTTTTCCCCCCATCATCATCATCAATCATCATCATCATTAATCATCATCATCAGTCATCATCAATCATCATCATCATCATCACATCATTAATCCTCATCAATCACTATCATCATCATCATCATCATCATCATCATCATCATTAATCATCAATCATCATCTCACTCATCAGTGTCTCTAACCATACAGGCCAGAAATTCCCAAGCCAGAGATCTACTGGGGTCCAGGCCACGTGGAACGTGTTGGGAGTCAGGAATCTCCGGGAAAGGATGCATCCTTGTGTAAAGATGCAACATTCCCGGAGTTAGCAGCCTCACAGGATGATAATGACTCCTCTTGCTCTTGTGGGGGAGATACTCGGGAAACTTCTGCTTTTCCTAAAGCCTTTGAGCATGAACTGCTTACTCCCATTGGCTCAGATGTTTCCCCTGCTAGTGGAGAGGGGCAGAATTCATCAGGTCAGCCATCTCCAAGTGGTATACTGCAACAGCAGTCACAACTGCAACCACAGCAACAGGCACAGCAGCAGCCACAACAGCCTGTAGCACCAGTGGCTGGTGACCTTACACCAATTGCCGAGGCAAGCCGCCTAGAAGACTCTCAGGCAACTTCTCCTAATCTTGCTCAAACTGAATGTGATAACATGGCAGCCCAGATCATTGCTCAAACAGAACTGATCTCCACAGCACAGACAGATGAGGAATCAACCTGTAATGAAAAAAAGCGAACAACTTCTGTGACTTTCGATCTTGGAGAGGGAGAAGAAACCACCCCTGACCTTGTGGGTGAGGCTAACATGCAGGAGTCCCGTAAACAAAAGGTAAATACATAAAAGTAATATTTGTAGTTATTACAAACAGCTGTAAGTGTACACAAATATGAAATGAAGTGCAGCCATAATGCTTGGATACACACTAAACCATAACATTTTGGGTCAACCTAGAATCTTTTTTAAACTACAAAAAAGCAAATAACATCCAGTTCAATTTTGATCAAAACAGAATGTAAACTAAGATTAAAATATCAATGTATATATATATATATATATATATATATATATATATTTATATATATATATATACATACATACATATTTTCATAAACCAGTATATCT